CCCCGTCCTATTCCTCCCACCCGCAGCTAGGGGGAGGGCCGTGCGCACTGAGGCCGCCCCCGCCCTGCCCCTCCCCCCAGGTGCGAGCTGCAGGACGAGGTGAGGGCGCTGCAGGCCGGCGTCGGGAAGATGTTGTGGGAGGCGACGCAGCCGCCGGCTCTCCTCCCGCCCCACCGCCTTTCTCTCGCCCTCTCCCCCCCTCTCCCTCTTTCGCCCTCTGCCTCTGCCTCTCCCCTTCCCCTTCGCGGCTAGAAGACAGCACGGCGTGCCCGCCGCCGCAGGTGCTGAGGGCCAGCTGGCGCAAGGCGCTCAAGCCGCAGCCACACTCCAAGGCCGACGCCAAGATGGCGACGCACGAGCCGTAGCGCGCCAGCCCCGCAGCACCGGGGGCGAAGGCGGGGCGAGGCCAGGCGGGTGCCCGCCGTGTCTCAGGGCGAGGGCTCGAAGAGCTTCGGCTGCGAGGGCGTTTTCTCTATATCGCGCGTGTGTGAAGTCGGTTGCGGCGTGGCGGGTCTCTCGTCGTCTAGAGGTGAGTTCTGTGGGACGTGATTGCAGACAGGGGCGTGGGTGTGGCAAGAGAGGTGGCTGAGAAGAGGGGAGGGTGCGTTGAGCGTTGGGCAGGGTGGCGTGATGTGGGAGATTGCCGTGTGGACGGTGTTTCTCCCGGGGCTTCTCTCTAGCTCGAATTGGCTGCCCTGGCACCCTGGGCCTCCCGCAGACCTTTTAATATTGCTTATACGCGTAACGGCATCACCATCAGTAAGAGTAACCAGCCTCCGCGGCGGGGCGCCCCCCGCGCTACCACCCAAACCCGAGTACAAAGCGCCTCTCCGAGAGCGCTGCGCCCAGACGGTCTACTAATCATAGCGGCTCAAGTGCGACAAGTCCACACACATAACATGCGACACGGGTGCCTGCCATACACAAAGCATTTTACTCTCACGACACACGGGCACCGGGTGGAGCGGCGGCGGCGGCGGCAGCAGCACGCGCGGGCGGACGGATTCGGACGGGGCGGAGCAGCGACCGCCTGGGCGGCCGCTGCTCTGTGCCAGAGCGCGCCGTCTGCGCAGCGCAGTCAGGTGCAGGGAAGCGTGGCGGCGCGGGGAAGCGCGGCGGCGGTGGCGAGCAGGCGAGCGGCCCGCGCGCGGCGAGGCGGACAGGTGATCGGCAGGCGGGTGACGGGCCGGAGAGTGACCGCGCCCAGCGATCGGAGCCGATCGTCGCTCGGCCGCAGCTGACCTCGAAGGCGTGCGGAGCGCGACTGGCGAACGTCACAAACCCCAGACAAAACCTGGCGTGGTACTTCCCGCCTGCTGTGGGAACAGCTGACGCAGCTCGCCGAGGCTCGCCCCATCATGTTGACTCGGCCAGACAAAAACCCCGAGAGGCGTGGGAGTACCTCGCCAGAGACAAAACACAAGGGAGAGGTGGGTGGGTCACAGAAAGACTGCGGCCGCCAGCAACTGAGCGTCTCGCTGGCGGACGTATCCTGTCGCCGATCTGCAGCGGTTAGAACCTCGCGACTGGCAGGCCCATCGGAGCGCCGCCTCGCCGGGGTCTCGGCTCTGACGAGCCATGCTAGCTCCGGCCGCAGGCGCAGCCCCGCCCAGCCGCCCTTAGTTCGTCCCCTCCCTCACTCAGTAGAGAAGACTAATCCTGGGGTAGCAACCTTCTCTGGTAGAACGGGTACGAGATGTATGTAGGGAGTATTCGCAAAGAGGAGCCCCGCGCACGCACGACTCTCCGCAGGAGAAACCCCTCCCGCCCGTGCTTGCGCAGCGCAGCCTCCTCCTCCCTAGGATTCCTACGCGCAAGTTGGGCATGAGGATGATGGCGATTATGTCGTGACGCTCGCCGATCAGCCGTGATGCTATGCAGATGACGACGGACAGATGCCGATGGTGATAAGATGTTCTCACCCTTGAGAGACGCGCCGAGTTGCCTCGCTGCGCCCGCCGCTGTTGATGACGGTACCTCGCGCGTCCGCTATGCGGTGCCGCGAGCGTCCGTCTGTTTCCAGCGACGATGGTACCTCACGCGTCCGCTGCGCGGTGCCGTGAGCTTCCTTCCGTCGCCTGTCGCTGGGCGGTGCCTCGCGCGTCCGCTGTGCGGTGCCGCGAGCGTCCGACACCAGCAACGACGGTACCTCGCGCGTCCGCTATGCGGTGCCGCGAGCTTCCGATGTGATCGACACGCTGCCGGGCTGTGTAGCCGCCACCCGACCGCAGCGTGACGATGGTGCCTCCAGACACGATGGCGGAGAGTTTGTGTGCCTCCAGACACGATGGCGGAGTTTGAGTGCCTCCAGACACGATGGAGTTTGAGTGCCTCCAGACACGATGGCGGAATTTGAGTGCCTCCAGACACGATGGAGTTTGAGTGCGTCCGTTGATAGTACGATGTTGACGATCGACACAAGCCGGGCTGTGTAGCCGCTAGCCTACCCGATCGCTCATGATGATGCACTCTGGTAGCTTCCCTCGCCGCCCCCTCCTTCGCCGCCCTCTCTCTCTCTCGCCACCTCCTCCTCCCTCACCGCCCCCTCCTCCCTCGCTGCCCCCTCCCTCACCACCTCCCCCCTCGCCGCCTCATCCTTCTTCGCCGCCCCTCCTCCCTTTATTAGCTCCGTAACGGTCCAAGGGTAGAGGGGGCGCTCCGCCGCTAGGGTAAACCCAAAGCGCAGACCAACCCTCGGAAACCGTGTTTACTGTAACGGCCCCCTCCCTGCGAATGCGCACGTATCCCACAAGGGTCAGGGCTTTTTTGCTCGTAGCCCGATGCCGATCATCCGGCCCGCTGTGGGTGCGCTTCATAGCTCCCCCGGCCCTGGATGTGAGGTTAACTGACCGGTGACCGCACTCAAGGTGCTCCAAGTGTACGTGAGTGTTGGGAGAGAGATGTAAGAAGTGAAAGGACACAGAAAGGACAAACCTTGTGGCGGGAGTTGGAACAGAGCGGTAAATGCAAGACTTGGAGTACGATCGTGGTTCATGGTAAACCTCGGACAACCGGGGCCGGGGAGCTAAACTGGCGGCTAAAGAAGCGCACCCACAGCGGGCCGGATGCTCGGGGACTGGCTGCGGGCAAGAGAGCCCTGACCCCCTGGGGGGTGCGCGGTCGCAGGGCCATAACACGCGGGGAACGAAGGGGTCGCTCGCTATGACTCCCCTCCCGCATGCATGCATTCTGCAACAATGCTCATCAATGGGATCTCAGAGCGATAAGTTCCGTGTACAGGCCCGTGGGAGGACTCTGCTGACAGGGTTTGCGATGGGAGCGACCCGAAGGGTTTCTCGGAGGTTAGTGCACCACTAACCGCCGAAGCGCAAGCGCTTGGAGCAAGAACACTACGACCTGGGTCGGGCTCATACTAGCACCCCACCACGCGGGCCGTTTTTAGGGGGTAGTAGTAGGGTAGGGTGGAGTCAGGGTTTTTGGGGGGGTAGGGGGTAGGCGTGGTCCCGTGCGCGCGGTTGGTGCTGCGCGGTGCGCGCGGTGCGCCGGCGCCGTGAGCACCAGAGGCGACCCATATGGGTGGCCGTGAGCCGTCTGGCAAAATCTCCCGCTGGGACTCGCGCCGAGATCACGGCGAACACCGCCACCGTCACCGCAGGCGCCACCGTCACCGCAGTCGAAGCCGCAGCCACAGCCGAAGCCGCAGCCGAAGCCAGCACACACGGCGATCTCGCAGCAACGAGAGAGGCAGGGAAGGGCGAGGTCGCAGCAATGAGCGTTCCGCCGACGGCGATAACGCTGGTGCGGCCCGCACCAGAGATGGCGGTGCCGTCGGCGAGGTTGCGGTTGCGGCTGAGGAGGAGGAGGAGGCAGAGGCCAACGACCCCGCCGAGGATTGGCGGCGGCGCGAGGAGGAAATCACTGCGCGGCGGCGGGAGGCGGCGGTGGCGGAGGAGGCGCGGCGGGCGGCAAAGGCTGCTCACATCGAGGAGGCGCTGCTCGACGCGGCGGTCAAGGCCGCCCTCTCCGAGGCCGTCGAGGCGGCGGTGCGCGAGCGCGTTGCCCAAGCGATGGCGGCGCCCTCCTGGGCGGCGGAGCTCGCCGCCACACGCGCGGCAATCGAGGGGTCGCTCCCGGCGCAGCTCGAGGCCGCCAAGGCTGCGGCGGCGGAGGCAGCCGCCGCGGCGGAGCGGCAGCGGCGGGCGGAGGAGGAGTCGCGGCTGGCGGCGGAACAGGAGGAGGCGGAGGCGCAGCGAGCGAGGGAGGCGGTGGTGGTCGAGGCCAAGCGGCGCGAGTCCGAGGCGCGGCTGCACGAGCTGCAGTCGAGGCTCGCTGCGGAGGCCTCGGCGGAGGCCGACAGGGCCGCGGCGGAGGCAGCAGCGAAGGCCGAGCGAGACCGCGTGCTCGGGCGCAACGCGACGGGCGCCTCGCGCTCGGGGGCCGCGCCGCGCGCCAAGCTCTCGTTCGGGCTCGGCAGGCCTCTGAGCCGAAAGCCCGGGCGGTGAGGTGCTCTCTCTGGTGGCGGGGCGCGGGGATTTTATTCGGAGAGGGGCGTGTGGCACCACAAGTGCTCCAACCTCCAAGTGCCGAGAAAGTCATGTGCACATGCAGGCAGCCACGTGCACACCCAGAACAAAACGTACACCGGACATGCGTAAGGCGTCTCCCAGGCGGTGGCGGGGTTGCGCAGGCCCGTCCCACACGCCCGTTCACCCCAACAGCAACACCCGACCCGCCCCCCCCCCCCGAAAAATAAAAGAAGTAAAAAGAGACAAAACACCGCGCCCGCCGCTCGCGGTGAGAGACAGAGAGAGAGCCTCTTCAGCTTCACAAGAGCGAGAGAGCAGGGGAGGCGGGGAGGTGCGGGAGCGCGCGCGCGCCGGGGGGGTGGGGGGCTTGACAAAGCTCGCAGAAAGCTCGGCAGCTTGTGGGGGAGGTGTCGCGCGGGCAAGTTGCCAACTACCGGCAAGTGTGAACGGCGAGTCGGGTTTGGCGCTCACTAACACTCATGTAACACCGCTTGGGCGGGAGACAGCTCGTGAGGATCCGGACCGGCACCGGTGTCTTGTGTTGAACCTAGGCTATGCGCGTAAACACGCGCACTTGGTTGTGGTCACTAGCTCTGCGAAACCTCAGGACCGGTGTGTGTGCGGGGGAGAGAGGCTCCTCGCTCGTATAAGCGCTATAGGGGGAGCGGGCCCGGCGCGGCAGCGCCAGCGGGGCGGCGCGGCGGTGCAAAAGACAAATGTGAAATGATAACGATGTGCTCGAAGGGAAACAAAGAAGAAAACACCCAGGGCGCAATGCCCCAATCTCGAGAGTGAGAACCTCGTCCTCGAGAGACGAGAGAACGAGTTCGTTACGTCTATCGTCTTACGAGTACGAGAAGAAGAAAACAGCGCGCCAAAGTTTTTCTTGTTCAGCGCGCGTCGCGGCAGGAAGCAGGGTTCAGGCTTGATTGATAGGGGTCTGTTGGCACTGACTCGCGCCAAAACGCCCCGCACGCCGGTACGTACGCGCCTAAGCTTTCTTTCTTTCTACCTACATGTTTGTTTTCTATCTATCCCCAGAACGCGCAGCGAAGCAAAACAATGAAAAAACGCGGAAAATAGGGGCCCCTTGCAGGCGGGCTGTACCGACCCCCTATCTGTCACAAAACCCACCCCGCGCGAACAATGCCCAGCGAAGATGCCCCAATCGAGGAGCAGGCTGAGGCATTCTTCGCAAAGTTCACCGAGCCTGCGCGCCCCTCGGAGCACCTGAAGTACCTCGAGCTGCCCGCGTGGGACGCGCGTCACTCCTTTGTCACCGACGCTGCCTTTGACCTGGGCGACCGGGCCATTGACGCGTGCGACGCCTTGGGTCTTAGCTCAGCGATGCGCACGTTGCGGCCTGCGCAGCTGACGGAGCTGCACCTGCATCGGTGCAGCCTCTGTGCCGATGGCCTGGCCGCGGTGGTTGCGGCGCTCCCGGCGCTGCCGGCACTCGAGTCGCTCTTTGCGATGCAGAACGGCGCGGGCGACGGCGCGATGAGTGCGTTTGCCGGGCTCGCGCGCACCGGCGGCGTGCCGCTCCGCCGGCTCGCGCTGCAGGAGAACGGCATCACGGACTGCGGCGCCGCCTCGCTTGCGGCGGCGCTGGCGGGCGCTACTCCGCAGCTGGAGTGGCTCTACCTGTCGGGGAACGAGATCGGAGACGAGGGCGGGGTGGCGATCGCCGAGGCGGTGGAGGGTGGCGCCTGCCCTCGGCTGGCGCGACTCGCCCTTCAGCACAACCGTCTCGGAGACGCTACGCTCCTCGCTCTCGGCCGCGCTGCGGCGGGCGGCAAGCTGCCGAAAGGCGAGTACCTGTACGTGCACGAGAACGAGCACACGCCCGCGGGGAGAGACGCGCTCGCGGCGGCCCTCGAGGGCCACCCCAACCAGCTGCAGGCCCACCTCGGCTGGCCGCCTCCCCTCCCTCGCGACGAGCTGCGGTGCGACGAGGCCGCAGCCACGGTGCCCCCCCTCCCCCTGCCTCTGCCTCTACCCTGCCCTCCCCATGCCGCACGCGCTTTCCCCGCCCCCACGCCACGACCCGGCCTCCTTGCTGCTAGGCGGCATCGCTCGCCGGCGCGCCGCCCAAGCGCAAGCCCTACGCGCCGCCTCCTCCTCGGGTGGCGCCGCCTCACCCGGATGGAGACGTGCCGCCCTGGAGGGTGCGGCCAGCGACAACCACCACCAAGGCGGTCTCGTTCGTGGAGCCGCCGCCCCGCCCACCGCCCGCCTCCGCGGACCCTCTCCCGTCGGACGAGCCGTCCTCCAAGGGGGAGCTGCCCGGTGACTTTTTCGAGCGGCTGCTGGCGATGTGAGACCGAGGCGAAAAGGCTGCAGGACAACGCTCTAGGAAGTAGGATCTTGGACGCGTCACGTTCGTTGCGTGCGGGTTGTCATGTTCATGTGTGCTGTGTGTTAAGGGAAAAGGTACATGGCGCCGAGAGAGACGGCCCGGGCCACAAACTGTACGCAATGGTTGGGTAGTAGGGCTAGAGAGGGTCGCTCTACACACTTAGCCTCGCTGGCTCTGCAGACTGCACAGGCCACAGCGAGGTGCGAGCGAGCGCTCAACTTACGGCTTTAGCACCCGCACGGAGCCGGGCTCAGACTTAGACGCTGTATGGTCGGGGGCCCCATGAACTTAGACGACATAAGGCCAACTCCGGGTAAAACCGGGTATACCTGAAAAGCCTTCAGGTTTACCCGAAAAATACCTTGGTCCTGGACGCGTCCAACGTATGCGCGCACGACGCCATATCGCCCATGTGCTGCCGCTATGCGTGCCTTAAGGCGGCTGCGGCGAAGCGGCGGGCGCGGCATGCCGATGGCAGTGCGGACGATGCGGTTGCAATGTGTTCTGCTTCAAGATTGTGGCGGTGCTTTGCCTTTGGCATGCACTTCTGCGATCCCAATCAGCTCGAAGCAGCGCAACAAGCTGGCTGCTGCCAACAAGGCCCTATGCTACCTCACGCGCGGATCGTTCAAAGAGGACCAGCATACACAGGCTTCTCTGACATGCGTTTGTTTGAGCTTGAGGCTATTTGTGAGAACTGTTTGGGCTTTGGCTAGAAGTCGACGAAGATTGCGCTCAAGAAGCAGCAACGAGAATCGGAAGAGGAGGATGCTGAGGCGGCGATTGCTGAGAGCACATGAGGAGGATCGATCGCCCGCCGCAGGCGAAGAAAATTTGGGGGCTGCGCGCCGTATATATCGTTGACCATGACGTTGTACGCGTGTTTTGATCTATGATCACGGTGGGAGCCTCTCTCTCCACTCTCGCTTCACGCTTGGGACTTGGCCCCAGGCCGTCCACGGCCGATGTAAGAGGCTCCCGCTGATCTTAGACCGCGCAAGCACTCCAGCGTGGCTAGCCACACTTAGACCCGCTAGGCCTCCAGGCTCAGAACTTAGACTACTACGTACGGCTCTACTACCCAACCAGTCTGTACGCGAGGTCGCCCCACACACCGCGGAGCGGAGCTGAGACACGACTCTGTAGACTCCAATGACACCGTGTGGAGAGAGACTCAGCTGAGACTCGGCTGTCGGGAGTCAGGGCTCACGGTCACGCAACGCCGAGCGGAAGTCGGAACAATGTTCACGTGCACACGACTCTGAACTCACAAGCCGAGCTGACATGTGACAACGAGCCAGCGGTTGATGAGCAAGGATGTCACCGCCGATTTGTCCGATGTCCTGCCGCCTTTTTGCGATGGCGCCTCGCAGCTAGCTCACCCATGCGCGTCGTTCTGTGCACGACGAAAGCCTCGCTCCCCCAGTCGCACTGCTCCCACTCCCTCCAGACCGGCTCGAATTGAACGGCGCCACCCTCCCCCAAGTCCACGACCTCGGGAAGCCTCTGGCCCACGGTGATGACTCGCGCTCCGCTGGCGAGCTCCGCAGCGAGCTTCGCCGCCAGCCGCTGCATGATGGAAACGGACCATGTCACGCAGCAGCAAAAGACGACGTCGGCGCTGGAGACGTCGGCAGCAAAGAGGTCGCCACAGCGCAACTCCACGCCCGCCGACAGCCGACTCGGGTCCAGACCCGCGAGGGTGGCGTCCAGCAGCTCCACCCTGGCCTCGACCTGCTCACGCAGCGTCGTGTACCGCTGCAGCGGCCCAGCCACCGCAGCGGCGTGCAGAGGCTCGAGCAGCTCCACTCCGACAGCCCGCGACAGGCCGCAGCAGAGCGCAGCTGTAATGACGCCGCGGCCCGCGCCGGAGCCGAGGTCGAAGAACGTGCCGCACTCCATCGGCCCGGCTGCTGCAAGCGCCCGCTCCAAAGCTTCTGGGCGCACATCCCCATACGTCAGGTCCACGTCGACGGTCTGCTTCTCCTGCCCTCGCTGCGCTGTCCCGTCAGCCGAGAGAGCGTAGGCCCTGGCCGGTGGGAGGTCTTGATAGCAGTGGTCGATGGCCCGTCTCACAGCGGAGAGGTGGACTGAAGCCATAGACGCGCGTTTCCCCTCCCGGTGAGCCGGGAGAGCGCTCCCGGCACCTCCCGGCACTGCTTCGATCTTGGGGCTGACAAGGGGCGGAGATTTCTTTTGTGAAATTCTTTTTGTTGCTTCCTTAATAGATTTTCGCCGCAAAACTAAAACGCACAAGCACAGACAGTCGAGAAGGGAGAGACAGCAACGACAGTCAGAAGCCAGCGCTGTTCACACTTTGCTTGCCCATTTTACAACAGGGTGCTTTACCAGGTCCGACGCAGGTTCGGCACCCTGGCCGCACCCCGCCTCGGAGCTCTCGGTAACCAGACCCTCCGCACGAGCTCACACAGCTCACAAATGTGTGCCGTCTCCCAAATACAAACCCCACCCTCTACTTGGAGCCGGGCAGCGCCTGCAGCGCGCGGGAGTGCTGCTCGAGCCCGCGGGCGTGCAGCGTCAGCTGCGAGCCGCCGATGGAGCGGGCCGTGTTGAGTACCGCCGTCTGCATGTCGCGCCGCAGCAGCGCGAGGGCCTCGCCGGCACCGGACGCCGCGTGGCTCGCCTTGGCCTTCGCCTCGACCTCGATCTGCTGCAGCGCGGGCAGCTTGCGCTTGTCGGCCTTGCCCTGCAGCTTGGTTAGCGACTGCGCGTGCTCCCTGTGCGCCGCCTCGTAGGTCGCCGCTCGGGCCGAGCAGGCCGCGACGCCGGAGGCGAGGAAGGTGTTTAGAGTCGCGACCAGGGCGTCGAGTGGCGCCTCGGCCTCGGCCGCCCGCGACTGCCACTCGATGAGCAGCGCCGCCGCTCGCTGCAGCTCCTGCGCGGTCTCGAGGGCCGGCTGCTGCGCCTCAAAGCTCGGCTGCGACACCGGCCAGTCGCCCGCCGGGACCTCGCCGCTGGCCAGGGAGGCGCCACGCACGCAGAGCGATGCAACGAGCCCGACCGCGCGAGCGTGCGCCTCTTGAGCTGCCTTGAGCGATTGGACCGACCTCTTGCACGTCTCAACAAACTCGCTCGCCTCGGACGCCGCAGCGGTGTAGTCTTTGGGCGAAGGCAGATTTCGAGGCGTGGAGGGCTGGCTGCCGGGCTCGCTGCTGGCACCCCGGCTGCTGGGCCGCGACATCGCTGAACGATTTTGGCTTGAAATGGTCGGCTTGGTTCGTGGGGCTTGGTTCAGCACGGCGAGAGCCAACGGCTTTGTGAGGGTGGGGGGCTCGAGCTTCATCGAATTCTTTTTCGCTTTGCGGGCTCATTTCGTTAATTGAAAACGGTACGGTATGCCCCCCCCCCCGGGGGGGGGGGGTGGTCGTGGAGTACTCTCTACTGCCGCGGAGCCCCTGTCGGTGCGAAGGCGCCCGGCGGCCGCGGGCGCTTGGTGCCCACGCCGACCGGCTGCTCTCGCGGCGCCGAGGCGTACCGATCCGGTCACGTCTTGCGCGCTGTGAGATGCCTTTCGCCGTGTGGGCGCTCGCCAGAGACGCCAGGAGGCTTGCCTTCCACGCCTGCGGCCGCGGGCGTCAGGGCGGGCTCGCGAGGCTCTACGAAGCGCTGATCGGGGCTTCGAGCTGGCCGCCGGCGACGAGCGAGCATGGCTCGTGGCTCTTGTCTACGGGAGACTGCTCGGGACACTCCCAGGATTGTGTGGAGCCTCGCCTGGGCATCTGGAATGGCCTACAGGGCCCGGGCGGGCCGCCTCGGGCGGGATGGCGCACCAGGCGCACTCAGTAGTACCTCTGCGAGGACTACCGGCTCTCCGATCGCGGCGGCGGGCTCGCGCGGCGCGCCGCTCAACGGGAGGCTGCTCACTATGGTTTCAACAGCATCTTCTGCCTCGCTGCTCTCGCTGCGACCGCCTCCGGGGCCGGCGCCGGCCGCCTCGCTTCGCCAGTGCTGTCTACGCCTGCGACACGCGTGTCGGCTCGCCGCCCGTGTCGCCTGCGGCGGGCCCGCGTGGCGCGCTGCTCGTCGGGAGCGTGCTCAGCAGGCTGTGCAGCGCAGTCTGCCTCACTCAGAGCGCCGCTGACGCGGCGCGGGGCCGCCGTCGGCGCTGCTGCCGCGCACGCTGCGCTTTGTGCGTCACCATCGTGTCCTGGCTGCGTCGTCGACGCCACTTGCCGCTCGCCGCTGCCCTGCCCTTCCCTGCCATCGCGCGAACAAACAAACACACACACAAACACACACACATTATTAATCATCGGGTAATAATTATTAATTATTAATCATCGGGCGGCGGCGCGGCGCGGCGGCGGGCGGCGCGAGGCGGCGGCGGCGCGGCGGCGCGGCGCGGCGGCGGTGTGAGTACTTATTAATTAATTAATTAATTAATTATTAATCATCGGGCGGCGCGGCGGCGGGCGACGCGGAGCGGGGCGGCGCGACCATCAGCAGACGCCCAGGTCTTTGGCCGTTGGAGCTCGGCAATGGTCGCGCCGCCCTCGACTCAAGGGGCTGCCTTCCACCCGTAGCTGCTCAGGCTGGGGGAGGGGGAGAGGCCTCCTGTTCCTCGCGGAACGGGAGCAGGCCCCTCCTTGCCCGGTCTGCGATGCAGGGCGGTGATCGTGCCATCTTCGCTTCGTACTCGAAACCACCACGCCGCAACCGTCGCCGGCGCGCGACACGTTCCCGTCGGCCGGACTGTCCTCGTCGAGAGTGTGTGCCGCCAAGGCGGGACGCGCTCAGGGACAGTGCCGACGGGACGCGGCTCGAGGGGCTCCCGCGAAGGCACGGCTGGCAACCGTGGCGCGGGGCTCGTCCTCGGAAAAGTCGGATATGGCTCCGCCCGCGACTCTCTCGCTGACACGCGCGCCCCGTCGACCTGACGACGGGCGCGCTGCGGTCGCACGCCTCCCAAGTCATATGCCACGGCGTGCGACCTAGATCAGCACACGCGCTTCTGCTCGCATACACTCATACAATGAACTGACACCACCCATGAGTGCGAGTTAGGGCTAGCAGTAGGCCACTAGCCTGTGAGGGAGCGTCCATAGACACCTCACAAGACCCCACACACGGTCTCGTCCATGCCTTGCGGCCGGCGAGATTGCTAGAGGCGGAGCGGTCTGCTCTAGCCTCGCACGTTACTCCCTGTCGTCTGTTGTGTTGTTGTGCTCTTGTTTGTGCCCTTGGCACCGTGTGTGCTGGGGGGGGCGACAGGGAGGACGTGGCCCTGGCCTCTGCTGGACGAACGTCCATCCGGAGACCCTTGACGTGATTGATTTCTCTCCGATGTGGCCGCAGCTGCAGATCATCGACAATATCATCAACTTCATCCCCGACCCCCTCACCTTGTTGGCGGACCAGAGTGGCGTCACGTTCGACTGGTCGACGATTGTCAAGAGCAACATCAATGCGGATTCGGCGATGAGTGCCTGGTACCGGACGAAAGGCTCCCGCTACACCCTCGTGTGGGCTCGCTTTACGAGCCGATGACGCTGGCCGAGCATAAGTCAAAGGCCAAGAAAAGGCCCAAGTCGCTCTTCTCGCACAACGACCAGACGGCTATAGCCTTTACGTTGGATGCCTTGCTCTCTGGGGACCACACCGGCACCCTCGGCAGGATGATCGAGGCGCTGCGAAAGCGGCGCGAGGACCCCTTTGACGTCCAGGCCTACTCCATCTCGGGACAGGCGCTCATGCTCGAGACCGTCGAGACAAAGCCGTACATTCTCGCGGGCGGCGACCCGCAAGGCGTCGAGATGATGACAGACGACGACTATTACACCCCTCACCTACATGCGCTCACCGCTAACCACACGTCGTCGATCGTCGGCGAGACGGTCACGGTGGCCCTGCGTGGAGCCTTCGAAACAGCGGCCTCTCTCTCCGAGCAGATCGGCTCCGTGGTCCTGGAGAACAGCTTTGCGGACGACAAGCTCAGCGGCCAGGCCGAGCAGGTGGCGCGTGTGCTCCGCTCGATGGTGGAACACCCCGAGTTCGCCAAAGAGCGCGCGGCCTTCTACATTGAGGAGGGGTCCTTTGACGCGCACAATTCGGGCGAAATCACCGACGAGCACCTACTGAACGTCAACACGGCGCTCACCTCGCTGATTGCCGAGATCAAGACGCTCGGCCTCTGGAATAATGTCATCATCGTGACCGCGAGTGACTTTGGGAGGACAATGACGGACAACGGGCGAGGCACCGACCATGCCTGGGCGGGCAACCACTTTGTGACCGGCGGGCTGGTCACCGGCGGGCAGGTGCTCGGCCGCTACCCGTCGGTGCTCGACGAGCCGCTCTCCGAGGTGAACGTAGGGCGAGGCCGCTTCATGCCAACCACTTCATGGGAGGGCATGTGGTACGGCATCGCCCAGTGGTTTGGCGTGGACGAGGAGGAGATGCGCGATGTCATGCCAAACGTGGTCAACTTCCAGCCGGCGGATCTGATCCCGATGAGCGTCCTCTTCGATGAGGAGCCACCCTCGGCGCCTGCTCCGCCGCCGGATTCGCCCAAATCACCGCCCCCGCCACCTGTTGGCCCTTGCGAGGACCTCACGGAGGACAGGATATGCAAGGGGGACAGCTTCGCCAACCTGACGGCCCACACCTCCTTCGACGGCACCACCGCCAGCTGCCAAGCGGCGTGCGACGCCTTCTCGAGGGCAGAGAAGCAAGCCGGCTGCTGCAACTGGCGCGAAGCCTACACAAGCAGGGGCACCATGCTCCCCAACGAGTGCTTCTTCCACTTTGTCGTAAGTCCAAAGAATACAAAAGCCCAACGCAAGTCGTACGCCTCGGCGTGCTGTCCGCGTCTCAGCTCCGGCCGCTGCGCCAACCTTGACGTGACTGCTCCCGCGCCGCCGTCGCCGTCGCCACCGCCGCCTCCCTCGCCCGCGGCGCCACCACCGGAGCCCCCATCAGCCCCACCCCCGCCATCGCCACCGCCGCCTGGCTCCTGCGGTAACGAGTGCAAGAGCACAACGTGTCAGACTTTCGCGGTGCTCGAGTGTTCGCTGCTCCGTCACATGGGCTGTGACTGCGACGGCTGCTGCTCCAACTCCACGGCGGCGGGAGTGCAGTGCGCAGAGGGCACCGAGTGGTCCGAGCCCGACGCCGCATGCGTAATATCGTGCCCTAGCGACGCAAGCCGCTCTCTGGAGGAGGCCGCGCGCGAGTACCGTGCCGGGGAACCGCTTTTTCGGCTTCCGGCGCCCCCTTCAAGTGAGGGTGGGGGCGTCGGATCGTCCACCCTCGCCCGATTGCAGCACGGCCGCCGCCTCCTCGAGCCATGTCAGGACGCAGCCGTCGCCGAGCGCTGCGGCGCTGCGCCACCACCGATCTCACCCCCGCCCTCAACCCCAACGTCAACCTGCTCGGACGAAGCGGCCATGCGCCTTGTGCGCGACGCTGTCGAGGGGACCCTGGTCATCTACGTCGACTGCTACACGCCCGGCTTGGGCGCGGGAAGCATGATTGCGATGCCCGGCCACACCGACCCGTACGAAGTCGAGCGTCTCGGCTTGCCGTCTCGCCAGCGTCGCTTAGCGGACGGTCTGCCCATCACGCTCGCGACGCCGCTGACGGCCAGCACAAACGCTGGCGCCGCGATCGCCATACTAGCTCCACCGCCCTCCCCGTCCCTGCCTCCCGTCGCCGGCTCCGAGAAGGACCCGCACCTCCACTTTGCTCACGGCGGGACCGCTGACTTTCGCGGGCGGGACGGCGCGTACTACAACTTCTTCTCGGCGCCAGGCTTTTCCGTCAACGTCAAGACGGAAGATGCCACGTTCCGACTTCACGGTGGCAAGCTGACGGTCGACGGCTCCTTCATCACCGAGGTTCACGTCGTTGCGCGAGTCGGCGGGGCCAAGCGCAAATGGGCCAACGCCTCGTGCTGGGCCGCCGAGTTCAACGAGTTCAACACCGGCTGGAAGTTAGTCAACGGGACCTGCGGGGGGGCTGGCGGCCACAGCCAGTACGCGTTTGGCTTGATGGGCTTGAAGATTTGCGAAGAGCTCACGATCCGAGTCGCGTACTCGCACGTGACGTTCAGCATCCCGGGGTGGACTGTCAAGGCGCGCGGAAACCACGTGTTCGACCGAATCCGAGGACCCGCGCACCGTCTCGACCTCTCCTTCATCGCCCGGGGCGACGCGCCAGCGCGCAGCTTGCCACACGGGCTAATTGGCCAGTCCTACTCCACGCCGGGCATGCGCGAAGGTGCGGTGGATGCGTATCCCGCACACGGCCGCATCGCCACCAC